TAGCTTTGAGGGATTGAGGAAGGGAAAAAGTTGCAGAGAGAGGATGAGGTGAGCAAGTTGCAGAGAGAAAACAAAACAACTACAAAAAATCCAAGAGGAACAACTACTGGGAGGCTCGAACCGGGATAACGAGGATAAAAGTCTGTAATTGTTTGAAACAAATAAGGGCAATATGGGTAATATGAAAATTTCATTAAACCTTCCGCATGCTTCTCCTCGCAGCAGTTTTCAGAAGCAGCTCCCCACCTGCTTCTGTTTTTCAGCTTTGAATGACAGCAACTTATTAAATAAGCAGCTTATTTTTGTTTTACCAAACACCCAAATCTTCAAAACTTTTTTTTAAAGCTGCTTATTTTTTAAGTTAAGCAACCCCAAACCAGCCCTAAGTACCATGCATATGACTATAAAAGCTAAATTCAACAAAATTAGCTAGGTTGGGCCAGCTACCCCATCATCTTCAACATTGGCTTCCTACTTGCGAATCACAATCTGACACATATGCAAAAAGAATTCATAAAAAACACACAATTTTTTTGGCAGGAATGGATGAACTCCTACTTACTTGGTAAGGAGGCAAGTATTTTTCAAAAATAAATATGATAAAACAAATTAACCGATTGAATTAAATTTGATTATTTGAGAAAACATGTGAATCGATGCAAACTCGTGCTTTCTTGAATTTAGAGGTCCAATTCGAGTCTTTTATGGACTCATCAAAATTCGATCAAATTACAGCACATTTTGGGCCTCCACATAATTTTAAATAAAAATTAGTGTAGAGTCATTAAAAACTTCAATAATTCAGATATCAAAAATCAAGTATTTTGGTTTTGAGTTTGGAGAATGGGTTTTAAATTTTCTTTTGTAATAGGCCAATAAGGAAGGAGGCCCAAATTGAATGGGCCCATTTAAATTTATGGGGGAAAAGACTATTTTACCTCCCACGTAGCCCAGGCCCCTACCGGCCACCACCTTTACTTAAATTAATAATTAAAAATTTAAACAAAACATCATTCCATTTGTAGGATTCGAACCCACAACTTCCATTATGCACAAATTGTCACTAGACCACACTTTTTGCTTATCTTGGATTTTAATTTTATTTATAGTCTAACTTCTATTGAGTGGCACGTAGCGTTTTTAATTATATATTTTTTATTATTCAAGTACAAAATTAAACTACACTATATAATTATAGTCTATTAGTATTTCACCTTATTCTTTTGTATTGTTATTTCTTTTTTTTTCTTTTTTTTTTCTTCTTTCTCAATTTTCTTAGCAATTAATTTCATATCATGACTAATGTATTAATTCATTATTTTGTTGTATAAAAACATATTAAAAAAAAGTTAGCATTTAACTTATAATACATTAAAATACATATTGTGTTGCAAATTCTATTATATAAACCTAAAAACACCAATATTGTTAAAAGGGCCGGACCGCGTATAAAACCTCCTCCTAGTTTTTTTCAGTTCCCTTGGCTTGTTTTACAAGTACCTGGGTTCAGTTTATCGGCGTAGTTCTCGTTTGTAATTGAAGTATCAATTTCGTTCCGGACAATTACTTTTCGAAAAGACCATAAACCCTAGCTTGGCTGACGGAGCAGTTTCTTCGACCTCGAAAGATTTACAGATATGGTGAGTATTAATATCTCACTCTTTCTCATATATTTTTCTTTTGATATATCAATCTCTTTCTCATTCGTTGTTTGTATTTAGAGGGTTCTGATTATGTGGGCGATTCTGAAATAGCGTTTTGCGTCTGATTTGGGTGTAGATTAGGGCTTAATTAGCTAAACCCATCTTCGATTGCCGATAAATAGCCATGGGAGCTGAAAAAATTTGAATCTTTTGATGTAATAATAATAAAAAGAAGTCAATTTTTAGATTATATGCTTATTATTGCGGTGGGATTTAATTAAACTCCAGTTATTTGTGCCCAATGAACCAAGGAGTTAAAGAATTTTAGTTTTAATGGGCTACAGGTACTGATCATGGAACACTTTCTATCTTTTTAAGTTTTGATTTATTAGAACTGAGGTATTGCACCATCCATGTTTGAGTTCGAAATTTCTGCTTTGTGTTATGTTTAAATTTATAACTGTGTGATAAATTCTCAAGAAACAGTTAACTGCACATAGTTGCGAGTTAATTTTTTTACTTGCACAATATTGTGGACACAACCAGTGAAGCTTATGTATAAAATTTGCAACAGGTCACACCATTGATCGGAGGAATCGCTGTAGCTGCAGCAGCTTATGCTGGTAGATATAGCATTCAGGCTTGGCAAGCATTCAAAGCAAGACCACCTACAGCTAGGCTGCGTAAATTTTACGAAGGTGGTTTTCAATCTACCATGACACGAAGGGAAGCAGCTCTCATACTTGGAGTGAGGTACTGCCTGGCTTCTTTTTTAAATATATATGAATCTATATTGTGTTGTAAGTCATGAAGTCTAGCAACGATGTTTAATGTACATCATGGCGCTGATGGCATAAACGTTTCTTTCATATGTTCCCATTGCTAGTATTTTCACAAATATGGCCTGTTATTGGAGTTTCTCAAACATTGCAGCCCTATGGACTTCAATGTCTAGAATGTAATAGATGGATGAGGTTAGGGCTATCTTATCTTTCAAAATGTGCCCTTGGTAGGTTTGAGCCTAGGCCCAGCTGATTGTTAATGGGATGAACATGATGAACATGATACTTTCACCCTTCTGTGCAACCAAAGCCTGTCTGTTATTTAGAATCGAGAAATTTGTTAATTTCTTCTCTGCAAATGTGTGCCCTTATTCTTCAATAGTCTTTTAACAATAGGGCTGGTTTTAAATTTAAACTGACTATATCATTGCTTGACCCTTGAGACGCTGCTCAGTGACATCCAATAGATTTTAGGCTCAGCTTGTGCTCAAATAGAATTTTGGAATGCTTGTTGATGCTTACACAAAGTTGATTGTCTGTGGTCGAGTTCTCTGTGACACCTGAACAAACTCAACCTTAGTACTTAGGCCTCGTACATGCTTCCCTGGTTCTTGACAAGAATTTTCTTAATTGGAGTAATTAAAAGACAGGAAATTACAACTTTTCAAAATTAAAAAAGTAAAATGGATGTTTCTGACATCCCCTTAGAGGGCTATCTCTATAGTACTAGTAGATTTCGCAGTAGCTTAAACCATAATGCTTTGAGCTCAGCTTGTAAAGTGAATGAGCTGAAGTGTTGATCTTAATAAGCTCATTCTTTTATCGAAAAATCGCACTTGAATATCTTTACAACTACATGAACTGAACCCATGCACAGTCAGCCCTGCTCAATTAGAGCAAGTCTCAAGCAGTTAGTCTGAGACAAAATGCAAGCTGTTGGGGGGGTGCTGTTTCATCATCTTATTGCATTTATCCTCTATTCATGATGTATTTATTTGTATATATTTTTATATTTGTTTTCTCAGGGAGAGTACCCCGACAGACAAGGTCAGGGAAGCGCATAGGAGGGTGATGGTTGCTAATCATCCGGATGCAGGGGGTAGCCATTACCTTGCATCTAAAATTAATGAAGCTAAAGATATTCTGCTTGGAAGAACCAAGGGCACGGGCTCTGCATTTTGATGGTGTTGACTTGTCCGAATGCTCCATAGGCCATTGTTTGTGAAGGTTTCACATAGCGAGTTTTAGATGTGTCATCTCTGTTTCGGATCAATTATTTTCAGTGTATATCAACAGGCGGTTTCTGTAGCCATAAACTTAACGCATTGAGGATACTGTAGTTGGACCCTCTTTGGAAGTCTTGTAGCTTTAATTTCATGAACTTGCTTAGCATCTGGCCGAAGTTTGTGGGAAATATTGAGAGGTTGTCAATTATTTTAAAGTACGTGAACGCATCTTCAGACCTAGATGTGATTAACAAACCCTTTCCTTAGCGACTGTAGTTAACAGACGATCATGTAATGGAATAGCCAAAAGACTCCATTTGGCTTGAGTCATTTTAGCGATTTCGGTACTACCAGCTTAGTAGTTTATAATTTCTATATAAACTCGCAATGAAAGTGCCATAAGCGAAATTGAGAGTATTAAGCTGAAAGCTGCATTGCATTTAGAGTTTTATAATTTGTATAAAAGCACTACTTTTAACAGTCAAAATCTGCATTGCATCCAAATGAAAGCTGAAAGCTTTGCTTTTTATTTTTGTCAAAGAAATGAAATACGACATTTGTGGAATATGTACCACTGAATTTGAAACGTGGTTTTGTTTTTCCTTTTCGTGGCCTTCAAGTTTAACAGTTAGCTGATCCGGAAGATCATACTAGTTATCAACCCCAAAAAAGGAAAACAAGTCTCAACGGTAGAACCAGATTTGATTTGATATTTGCTGTTGGCTACAACATAGGTCACTCGTGAATGATGGCTGGTGAGAAAAACCGTGCCACCATAGAAGAGAGAAAAAAACCATACACATTTGTCGCACCATTGCTTCTCATCATCTTATCGTCCAAAGCGCTAATCCTCCAAAACTTTCCAAACTCTATTTCATGCTCCGCCTCCAAAACTATTTGAGCTCTATTTCGTTCTCCCCTGAGCAGAGGAGTAACCTGCAGTAATTCTATGGTATTTACATCAGAATTCCAAGTCGAAAGAACCAATATATCATAAACGGCCGTGTGAGAATCAAGCATTTGTTGATATCATATCTCTTCTGAATTGCCTTCTGATTGAGTTGTATCTGTAGCGACTTTTTTTTCTACTGGACCTTGAGGGCTTCCAAAAAGAGTAGCAAAAATCTGTCTGTGGCATTCATCACAGAAATACAAGTAGGAGAAGTGGCCTTCATTTGGGAGCTTGTGCACATAAGCTCCAGGTAAAACCCGTGCTATATAGTCGGTCACCGTTGGTGGGACTATCATATCACCCATTCCCTGTGCAACATTTATTAGAAATATATCATTAATATAAAAAGCCAAGTCGAGTTAATGAATGCGTTATGAATTAGATTAATTCTATGTCCTTGGTTGGGAATTTCAGCTTTTGCACCAACCTGCCATATGTGTATTTGGCCTAGAAATCCAGTCAGCACGCATTCTGCCTCACTGTACATAGACCTGAATAAACGAAGAAAGCCTCTTTGTTGACACTGTTTCTGCACTTGAAGATCTGCCAAACTAAAACCCCACTCTGAGACTTGTAGCACAGCCTCCTCCATGAAGGGTTTGATACTCCCTTGGCGGATTGACTCCTCCACATCCCTTTGCATATAGTCTTCAAATTTTGGATCTTCAATTAGAATTTCATCCTGCAAATATCAAGATTATGAAAGTTGAGATCTTGTGCACTCAACTCAACTAGACATGCACAAAGTGGTCTGTGAGTACTTGTCTTAAACGGTGACAAAAATACGAAATTACTACTCAACCCAAGGCAGCAAAAGCAGTCTCATCAACACAAAAATATCCTGGCGTGTATGATCAAAAGACAAAACTGCATAAAACCTGGGACTGATTCTGGGGAAAAAAGTGTACAATCGTGCAGACTATTTGAAGATGATAATAATGAACTTACCTTCTTCCCCAGTGAAAGAGACAACCACCTATCAATCCTGTCATGTTTTCCTGATAGGAAGCTTCGGCGATAAAAAGATGAGAGAAATTTTGGAAATCTACGAGCTAAAAAATACATCACTTTCCTTCTTAGAACCCATGGTTCCCAAATTTTCTTCCTCTCTTCCTTAGTCATGCCCGGCTCATAGGGATTGATTATTGGGGCCACCATGGCTGCACCTGCAAGTTCACTCAAGATTCTTAACAAAACAATTAATCCCTGAAGAATTCTTTAGAATAGGAGGTGAGGGTAAAAGGGTCAGCATAAATAAGACCCAGATCTTTAAGGGCTGTTAATTAAGATTATGATGAGCATGTACAGGACCCAAACAGTAGTTAAACCAATATTATAAATTTGGAGAAAATAATTTATATACCTGCAACTCTGTCAGGAATGTATCTGAGAGAAGCCCAAGCATGCATTGCTCCACTTGAGTGGCCCAGCACCCAGAACTTGTCATCAAAACCAATACCATTGGCCAAGTACAGCATATCCAATGCCGATGAGTTAAGATCCCTGCCTGGATGAGGGTCACTCTCCCCAAAACCAGGAAGATCATATGTGACCAAGCGGATACCAAACTCTTCAAGCAATGATATCTTAATTCCCGGAATACCTTTTGATGAAAAAGAAGACATGGAGAAAAAATGGGAGTTAAGTTCATAAATTTATATCGAGAGCATATATTACGGTCCCAAGATTATAACCACCTCAAATAATTTGGCATCGCTAGTAATTCATTTACCTGCAAGTCGGGATGAAAGGAAAGAATGTGGAGCAATCAATAAAAATCGAGTGCGCTCAGCTGGGACACCTAGCTCATGATAAGCCAATCGTCTCCCATCTGGAAGCAATACATGACTAGCACTAGGAGGATGTATTTGCACTTTCTTCACTGACCGAACCAAGCTATCATGTTCGGTACTGAAATTCATAGCTGCACATGTTTAGTAATGTAGACACATCATATCATGCTTGTACCACGAAGGAAGAGAAATGAATAGTGCAGTCAAATCCAAGTTTTGGAGATTCCACTCACAAAATGCTCGCAGTTCATTGAAAAACATTGACCAATCTAGTACGACTTTGCAATTTAAAACACAGCACATCAATCTAACATCAATCTATACTAGCTATTATTGAAATCATAATTCTAACACATACAAAAAGGCTGGGAACAAGAATATCAAAACCACTCCATTGAGGAATTGAAGTGAAGATCTACAACTTTCCCTATACGAACAATCCTTTATCACACTATTTCACAAACTTATAAAGAAACTTCTTACACATATAGAAGTTTTCCTTTCGGCATAGAAAGAAACCCCTTTTTTTGTTGGGACAGTAAATGAAGGTTTTTCTTTCATTGGATACTTTGATACATTGCTACTCTTAGTGTGTGATATATCAGTCCTCTCCGTATTAAGATTGCAGAAAATCTGCTAAAAATCCTATTTATCAGTAACAATTTCACAGATCAAAGAGATTTATCACACAATTTCGCGAACTTAGAAAGAAATCATTACTTTATCAGTAACAATTTATTGAACAACAAAAGCATAAACCTTTATAAAATTATCACACACCACTTGCACAACTGCATAACCAAAGCTTTGAACGTTCAAAAGTCATCAAACACAAACCAATATGAAGCAGAAGCAATATACCTGTAAGTGCAAGAATAGAAACGAAAAAGATCACCGGCCAAGCGTGAGCAGGATCGCGATCCTCTGGCAAAAACTCGTTCAAGTATCTCAATTTCTCCGAGGCTTTGGCGCAGGGCTTCCGGAGCTTTCGCACAATATACGAGTCCTTAGTCAGAATGTTCTGCTCCACAATGTCCTTACAGCCTCTCCCCAAATCCACAAGTATCTCACCCCAAGCGATCGCGAAGCCCTTAATCTGATCCTTGAAGCTCTCCGATTGCTCCAATTCACCGGAGCCGAAATCGGATGCTTGTGAGTCAAACGACGCCGTCGGAACTTCGATAGGATCGGCCGCAGCATATCGTATCCCCGAGTCACTCACCAGACTCGCTAGCTCGTCCCGCCATGAGTTCGATCCTCTAACCTCCGACATTTTCACTGAAAACACAGTCTATTGAGAGCTCAGAGAATCATTGAGAAGTTTAAATGGAGTTCAGCACTAGAGCAAAAGCAATGTGCATACATACAGATATATATAATATGAGAGATAGAGAGAGAAAGATGCAGAGGTAATGATGTAAAATCGGCAACTTTTCAAGCGTGAAATTCAAGCAAGTTTTGTTTATTCTCATTTTTGTTTTAAAAACAAAAACAAAAACGCACCGACCACCATTCAAACCGAATCGAAACCAACAAAGAAAAAGTAAAAAAAACAAAAATATTCAATAAAATAAAAAGAGAAAAGCCAAAAGCACCTCTGCTCAGCTCAGCTGCGTTTATCTTTTACTTTCCAACACTGAAAATGTTGGTTCCTCTGAAACTCTTGATCTGAATCGTATATCTACGGATACATATCATTCAACTTTTCATTGAAATTGACTTATTAACTGATTTTCAGCTCTTCGCCATCACTGGTCCTCTGCAAGCTCCCTTCATACGAAAAAGTTCTGTTCCGTGCTTGAAGATGAAGATGAAGATGAAGAGTCGAAGAAAACGAGAGCCGTTGATGAGGTCACTTTTGGGTGTGAAGCGGAGACTGACAGTTGCGATGCGTCCACGTTGGCAACTGCTACGCCGTGCTTTTAACGGCTGGCTACCGGTTCGGGCGGTACGTGTCGTCTGGTTCTGCGCACACTGCCCACATGGAATTGCCGGTGCAGTGTACGTTGCTGGGCCCATGTGACATGGGAATGTTCTTTTTAATATTTTATTATCTCTAACTTTAAGGCTCGGGGTTTATTTTGTTCGATCTCAGCCGTTGGTTGTGGTCAAAGTATAATCTTCCCTGCACTTGTAGTCACATCGGACGGTGTTTAGCCCACGTTGTGCTTTTATAGAACGTGAGTAATAATTTGCTCTTTAGTAAATGGAACGGTGAGCAGGCAGAGGTTAGATAAGTTAGCTAAGATAATGAATTTACTACGTTTTATTTAAGTTGGAATTCTCTAGATTATTTGCTGACGCAGAGACCAGAGACTTAATGGTCTAAACTATCTATAAATACGTGGAGATAGAGAGACTTTTGCTTTTGTTTTTTTCCTCTCTATTTCACAAATTTGCCCTAAACCTAAATTTGTTTAGAGTAGTTTAGTTTTTTTTTAAAATTAAATGGAAGGGTGAGAGTGATGACGTAGAGATGATAGGCTTTTGCTATTTTTTGTTTGTCTTTTGCACCTCATCTCATGAGGGGTGTTTAGTAGATACGCCTACAATGACGAGGAATTATATTGGGATGAGAGCTCGAATGGCAAACTTGTAACAACTCCAGTGTTATCTCCGTCTTAACCAAACGGCGCGTTTTGGCTCTCAGCTGGTCTTAAATTTAGAGTTCACGACGATATATGAGCCAAAAACTGAAGGCTATTTGCATATAAATCTATCTTTGCTTGTGGAAAACATCCATTTTCAGTCATAAGAAAACCTGTTATTTATTATGCCTGGGCACGATTCGAGTTGAGTCAAATTTTGACTGATTCGTGGGCCAAACTGACTAAGACTACGATTCTTAGGTCGGGTTGAGTAAAAAATGAAACCCGAAATTGGGCCGAGCCAAACATACATGGTTTGGTTTTGGTTTTTTGGTCAGATCTAGCTTGAGCCCAAAATCAGTTTTTTATTATAAAAAAAAGCTCCATCTTCCCCTTGTTCTTTCTCGGAGGCAAGGGCAACACAAAGAGGCATCTTCTTCAAACCTTCTCTATTAAGCTCTCCCAGCCCCTGGATTTCCTGTGCAAAGATATACTGCTTCTTCTGTTATCTGCTGCTGTGAAGCCATATGAGTTGACTGCAGGTGAGAAAGTATGTCCTCCATGATATGATTGCACAAAAGTCTTGTCCAATGAATTAATAAACTTTGGAGAATCGGAAACTACATACATGTCATTGTTATGTGTTCTCAACTTATCTACCCTGTAGGCTTTTGTCAATGCATTGTTGGGTGCCAAAATGGTAATATAACTTCCTGCTACTCTGATTGATTCACCATCTCTAAAAGTTATATTTCTTCTGATGCAGGATGGTTCATGGATGGTAAATATATATATATATTATATATATGCATTAATTCTCTTATATATATCTATATGATTCAATTAATCCAAGTACTTTTATTTCATAAAATAATCAATATTTTATGACCAATAATAATTTGTGCGCGTGCTTTGAATTTGCAGTATTCCATGTGAAAGATGAACACGGGAACAATCTTACAGACCAGAATGTCATCAACTATATCCAGAAGGTGATTATATTATTTGGTTTCTTCATGATCAACGAGTTTAGTTAATCAATATTATTGACTTTGGTAGAGAGGCCTTGATAAATGATTTTACATATATATCATCACAATGTCAACACTAACACGCTTAATTAATACATTGAAATAGGAATCACAGTGTCATTTAAGATCTATTCGTGCAGAAAAAAAAATCATAAATTTCATAATTATAACTGCCCATTCAAGATTATTTCAAAATCATACTTAAATACGAAATACTTCAA